CTTCGTACGAACAAAAGTAAGAGAAATTTAGGATAAGAATACAAACATGTTCTTGCATGAGGCCCATTGATCTTAGAAAACACAGAAACAGGTAGATTATGGTAGTGGCAGAATCATTCTCAACACATACTTGAGATCCAGCATAAAAATACTGTCATAAAATCTGAAAACTTAGTACAAATCCTGTTGTCTATGAAGAGGTCCATTTTAAACCTTGTCATTAAAGTAGCTGTTGTTTACTACCAACAACACGTCGTTGACTCATAGCTGTGCAAATAGGTAAGAGAAGCTGGAAGCACCTGTTGTGGGATTCCACTGAAAGTTACAGCAAGAAAGAGGGGGAAAAATAAAAGTTAAATTTATGTGCCAGAATTGCCGGAAGGAAGCGGAATCATTCCTTGGAAACATGTCAAACATGTCAAGCCATCTGTGAAGTTGTCGTGCAGGTGTGTCTGTAATCTGAAAACACATCACTTTCACTTCTTGAAACACCTTCTCACAGCAGATCCAGGCTTTGTCAGAGCAAATTGAACCCTTAGAATTGTGAAACTAAAGATTTGTAAAATTTTTCCCATAAGAAGTTGTAATCGATTATTAATCAATTCTGGATTGTTACATCCCTGCCTTGTTTACACGGACTGCAAAGACGTGTTGCGATTTTCAAGGTCTTGCTTGAGGCGTGTGCACTCACAGTGTGTATTGAGGATGAAGTTCTGCTACTACCACACCAAACTTTAGCTCAATATCTGTAAACCTAACTGAGTTAAAGGGATCCAAGATTAGCTGTAATGTTAGACTATTTGATAAACATATATTTTAACTGTAAATAAAGACTGCAAAAATACTGTAGGCTGTTTAGTCTTGTAAATTTTCAAAAATATATTTTAACACGGACGGAGCCATTTTATTTACACATGAAGCATTTTGGGTAAATGATGACGTGGATAGGTCCTCGGTGTGAGCGAGCTTTATCCACCCTGAAGGTTAATCTTGGACAARATCTGATGATCGACTCTTTTAAATGAAACCAGAGAGCGTTGACAGAGAGGAGAAGGTAGAAATGACTCAGCCTGSAACTGAAAATATGGCTGGAGGACAACAGAGCTGCTTCATGGAAGAAGAACCTCAGCTTAGCCTGTTAGCTTTAGTGTTAGCGCTAACACTATGTTGCCTTATATGTATTAGCTCGGCACTAGAGCGACAACAAGCTAAACTGAGGTCCTCCATCCATATTTTCAGTTACAGGCTGAGTCATTTTTATGTTCCCCTCTCTGTCATGTGGATGGAGGACCTCAGTGACGAGAGGAGAATGTGTAGCGCTGAGCTAATACATTTACTGTATATGGTGATAGCATTGGGGCACAAACTTGTGTTCACCTGGTCGTATTCAGAGGACGATACGAGGAAGAGGATGGAGGTGACGGAGTCGAAACACTCAAACCACCGCCTCCGCTCCGACCGCTGCCCCCCCACGTCCACCATCTTAAAGGGAACATTCTTGATCTCAAAGTCATACTCGTGGATCCCCTTGGTGGGCTTACGGGCCAGCAGGATGTCCTGCTGACTGGGAAGATAATCCTGCGGGAAAGACAAAAATCAAGTCAAACAGAATGCGGTTTAAAAAGCCGACACTAACGCCGAGTTAAATAAAAACACACCAACAAAAAGCGTTTACAGATAGGAGACGGTTTGCCAGGAAACCGGTAATCTTCTAATCAGTCCTCCAACCGAGACGTGTCTTCACTAAAAACATGACTTCAGATTGAGGCTGTGATTACTGATGAGGTGTTTATTATCTGAGTTTGGGCAACATTAGATCCAAAACAGCCACCAGTTTCATTCTATTTCTTACAGCTGTCTGTCAAAGATTTCATGAGCTTCTTCACAAATAAATCATTTAAGTGGGATAAAATTCACTCCATCCTTTTCTTGTTTTTCCACCAGTGTCACATTTCTAAGGAAACAAAAGCAGCTTTCTAAACAATCAGCTTGTATTTTAACCACATCCTGACCAGACTGTGCTGGATATTCCCCTAATTAGTATCYCCATTGTAGAGCTTGTACTAAAGTACTACACCACCTATTTTACACATGATAAGAACAAATACACTCACTCCAAAGTGTGAATGTTCGACATCTTGTAAAGGATGAATGTACTGCACTGACTGAATAGATCTTTACGTTTATACTTATAAATTGTCCACATCTTTTTTAAATATTTATTTTAAATATAACTTATATCATCTGTATTTATATTTGTGAGCATAACTGTAAAGACATTTGTATTTTTGTGAGCAATTTTAGAAAAAAGGACCCTGATAGCTCAGCTTTGGCTTTGTACTGGGAAAATGTCAAGAAATATTGGTGATAAAGATTGAACGAAATGTTAAAGTGAAAGGAAATGAGCACTGAGGTATGTGAAGTAGTAAAATGTATKCTGCTTTGTTAAAAGTTAAGATATATGAACGTAAGGGTGCTCTAATTTCAGAAAACATCTACAGAGGAGGATAAACTTGTTGGTGCACTTTACAGGATGTGACTGAAAAAAACTTCAGTTTTGTCTCATCAGATCCAGAAAATTTGGTGCTTGTAAACAAGCATTTAGGCAAATTCCAGTCTGACATTTTTGTGTTTTTCTGTCAGTAGCAGAGCCTCTTGGGTTTTCATCTGTGGATCTCATTATAATTCAGAATGTGACAGATGGTGCAATCAGAAAATGACACGCAGAACTGAGAAAACCACCCAAAAGTCATTTTTCTACCATTCAAACTATTTATCTGATCAACCTGGGGTCGCATTTCCTCTTGCGTCCACATTTTGGGCGGTTGGCCACAGTCTCGTGAAACCTATACGTTTTAAATGATTTGGTGGTCAGATGAACCTTTACCTTTAACAAACTTTTTTCTGAGCTCCTCAGACAGCTCTGAGCTTTGCTRTCTCTGCTCTATGATCAGTGTGGCGCTTACAACAATACAAATTACCCAGTTTGTTTGTTCCTCTATTAACAGGGCTGAAAGTCTGATTAAAAGCTCAAGGACACCTGTGATACTAATTAAGATTAAAATGATTATAAAGCAAATAAAAACAGTCTGTTTAATGTACCAACAAATTGGTCCGTAATTAAGCATTATTTGTAAAGTAAAAAAACAAATCTTATATTTTATCATTTTTGTTTAGTTTGTCGCAGATAAACAACAAAATATTGGTTTTAACTGAATCACAGTTTGAGAGAAACTAGGCATTGTTTCAACAAGCTGCAACTAATTTATTCAAGTCTGTACAAAGTTCATGTCGTTTTTATGTTAGTTTATAGTAGTTTCAATATTACACACATAATGCCCATTCAAACATCTTTTCACAATCATAACAGCTCCAGGTTTAAAGAATGATAGAATACCAACTGGGATACCACTTACAACATTTCCGTAAACCTAACAAGGGTGTAAGAAAATATCGATAKACTGAAATATCGCGATATTTCATTTCCCGATACTGTATCGATATTCTAAAGCCCTGTATCGGTTTTTTATTAAGGTTTAAAATGTCAACTTTCCTGCCTGCCATTCATTTTTGTATTGTAGTTCAGCCTCTGACCACTAGTTGGCAGCAGTGAGCCAGCRATTTGGCTCCTCTACCTCTTGAGCGCCAGAGAGTAAGAGAGCATTAGCATTGTAAGTAAACATTAGCTTCATGCTCCGATAGCTGAATCTGAGCAGAAAAGACCGACACCCTCTGCCTTCTAAGCTGAGGTAAGGTTACAAACAGTTACTTATTTGTCAGAATGTCTGTATTTTAAGACAAATTAAGTGTTTTGTGCGCTCTTTTTTTCCAACTGTAGTCAGGTTTCACGTTACGCATATAGCGCATGAGTCTATCACCTCGAGCGAGCTCGGCACTCCCCCCGTGACATAAAACTCTGTCTGTTGCTCTCAATAGCTACGTTTATGTGGACAAAAGTAATCGGATTAAACAACCGTTCGGAATAAAAATGCGTCATGTAAACACTTAATCGGATCATCTTATTCTGATTGTAGAAAACTGAACTGTGCCATGTCTGCTGACTTTCATTCACCCGGTGACACAGCAGCGTTTCCAGCTGCACAGCACCGTGCAGAACTTTTCCTCCATGCTCTCTTAACAGATGAAAAAGGAGGCAAACAGCAGACGTTGCTTTGCAAAAAATAAAAATAAAAAGCGTGTATTGCTCTGTAGGCTGCAGCTCAACCGAGGAGTAACGACATCTCTACCYTTATTAAAAGCTCACACGGGTCCGTCCTGAGCGCACAGAGGAGCGTTGTTTACGTTTGTAACACGGAAGTAGAGCTGAAAGTTTACAACARTGCGCATGTCCGGACTTTTATTCTGAATAAAACTCCGGTGCATGTAAACACTTTTCATGATCGGATTGTGTCCATGTAAACAGTACATTCGGATTATTTAATCTGAATACATTTCAATCCGATTAAAAAATTTTGTGCATGTAAACACTGCTAATGTCCGGCTGATGATCGCATCAAAGTCCATATACTTTATCCTGCTGTCTTCGCTTCAAAAACGGTTTAACTCGTTTAGCTTCTCAATTTCTTAACTGGTTTTCTTCAGGACTTGCCCTGCTGTTAACTGGTTTTCTTCGGGACCTACCCTGCTGTTCGACCCACAGTTATACAAATCATGTTCTGGATGCAGGTCAGCTGATCCCAGAAACTCTGTGCAGCAGCTTCATATCATCTGTTTACTGAACTTTATGACAACATAAAGGCTATAAGTGTTGGGTGACCATATTGTAAATTAATATTAAAAACAAAAAGCTGCAAAAAATATATTTTCAAACTATTTATTGGCAAATTTAGTCTAATAATTGAAAACATGGATGAAATATGAAACAAATAAAATAAAAACACATACAGAGCAGAACACAGCTAAATGTATCAAAATTATGTCTATGTTATATTAGAATTTTCTGAGACAATGAATTTTGGTTTTTCGTTTTTTTTTTTTTTTTTCCCAGTAAGAGGTTTTTATTTAATAGAATTTTTGGACCAAAAATATCACAACGTATCGCCTTGTTTACAGTATCGAAATATATCGGGATATACGTATCGTATCGTCACCCCTCTGTCATGATATGTATCGTATCGCCAAATTCTTGCCAATACACAGCCCTAAAACCTAATAGTTCATTTTTGCATTTTGAGTCTATTTTTTCTTTAAACCTCTAAAATATGTCTGTAAAAGTGTCCCTCTGGACTTTCAGAAATATCCAAACTGTCACAGCCAATTTTTTCTTCTTTATGGAGAAGCAGTCCATTCATGGACGTTTCCCTGCCAAAACATGAACACGATGTCCTACAAACAACACATCTGGCTGCTTTACTAATCGTATGTTGTCTGGACATGTTGAGATATGAACTTATAACATGCACAAAACAGAACACAACAATAACAGCAGAAAGAAACAACTTACCGGCTTGCAGAGCTTATCCAGATTATCCAAGAAATACTTCACTGCCTCGCCCTGGGACAGGACAGAGGAATTTATGTTAATTCCACATAATTTATTAACTTTGTCATGTCACCAATAACAGCTACAATCTGCATTGATAGCACATCGACAATTTGCTATAGCTACATTTAGCAGAAGCCATTTAATGTGGGTAACAAGGCACTGGAAAGGCACAAGAGAAAATCTCTTTGGCTGCAGCGCACACACAGGAAATCTGTTTGTTTTCTCTCTCAAAACTGTGTGTCCGCCTCAGAGGCGAGGAGAAGCAGGATGCAAATTATTTGGTGCTGAAGTGACACGTGTTTGTAAGTGTGTCTTTGATGTACAAAGAAGTGTTGCACAGTTTGACTGTGTGTTTGTGTGTGTGTAGGAAAGGTTTTCTTCTGGCACTGCTTTTGTGCAGTTCGTACAAGTCCAGACACGGGGCTGCCAGGTCTTAGCAGCATTCCATGACACGAGTTTATCTGTGTGTTTCTGCGTGCTCAATATACTGTAAAGCAAAAACAACCACCCTGCAAAAAAAAAAAAAAAAAACTGAATTTCTCTGCCATCTCTCTCAGAGCTCCTGCAGTTATGCACTCATAAAACAAAGCTGGGCTGTTTAGCATGTACTTTGCATTAAATACAACATAACAGATATTATCGTTATAAAAATTGAGCCAGACGTAGTGTTGAGTGTGCCAGCAGCATGTGTCAGTTATTTCCCCTCCATTGTAAGCTGCTCTTCTCACCTTTTGATGCTAAAATAAAAAAAAAACTAACCTGACCTGAAAAACCTGCGAGTGTGAATGTGTGTGCATGGGTACGATTACACAAGGGAGGAGCAGGACGGTTCGCTGAAGGACAGAGAGAAGGGGAGCTACCTTGTCCGTTATGGAGGCAATTTTAGTTCTGGGCGTCCTAAAATCCTGGTTTTGAATGAGTAAAGGAGCTCAGAGCGGAGAGGACTGGGGATTTTGAAATAATTAAGGAAAAAAAAAAAAAAGAATCAGCCACATCAAAAAAGAAGAAGAGAAACAAGAAGAGCAATCAATCCCAGCTTGTTACAAGTCATGATGACACCTAATGTTAGCAAACTGTAAAAGCAAAACTGAAACACTGTGCAACCAAATGAAAAGTTCGGCCTCATTGATTCTGCATTACAGATTTATATTGAGCTTATTTTTTAAAGTTAAACACGCACAGCGCAGCAAGTGACAGAAGCCAGTCAGGCTCTCCATAGATTTTTAATGACTACGATGGAGCCTGAGGGAACACGTGATTTGTGATGCAAATACTCAAAAGGGCACGGTCAAAACAGGACGAGTTTCACCTGCTGGCAGGGAAACGCACCGAACCTCACCACCAAGAGGAAGGAGGGGAGAACCACTCAGAGCACACGTCTGGTTTTCTTTTTAACGCTCTTATTGAAGTTTATGAAAAAGCTGCTGGAAATTTTGTTTTTGTGTTTACCCACCAGAAGAGAGGAATACGTTCAACGCAAACCCGTTCTGAAAAACCAAACATGTCGCTCTAACCAAAGTGACCAAAAGGCACTAGAAAAGTAGCACCAGCTATTTTTTTCCATTTTTTAGACAAACACGTGTAATGCCATCTGTAGCGCCACCTACTGATGACAAAACATGACCCAGTTTYTTTGCCCCAAACCAGTTCATGGAAACAAACCTGATATAAACGTTGCATCCTGTGGTTTCCCACCGCTCAGAAACCCAGCTCTACCACAGCTAATGCGCACTTTTTACGCACCATCTACGGCCGCAACCGATATTTTTCATTAGCGAATGAGATCCTGGTTGATTTCTACATTTGATGCTTTTATACCAGTTAGCTGAGGAAAAAAAAACGTTTAAGTCCAGAACACGTGTACAGAATACGTGTCCTTGTGTTACGTGAGGCGTGTGATACTCTTAGTGTTTGTGTGTAAATAATGCTGAGTGGGAGAGCCTYGGCTCTGTTGGTAAGCATAAAGCTGTTTAACTGCAGATCAACATTCTTGCTCTGATCACACGTATTCCCCCTCCTTTTTCTGCAAGAAAACCAATCTGCTCTAAACAAGCCAAGAGTGAAAGAAACCAAGAAAACCCCTCTGAGAACAGGCTATAGCCTTGTGCAAAACTGTAACGTTCAACTTCTGGCTCATTATTGAAAGCAACTTGGAGAAGTGCGTCTCTTGTTCTGGCCACAGTGGGCCCCCCCCCACCTCGACAGAGACCCACAGGCGGAAAAGCTAGTGATTTTCAGAAGTGCAGCAGGTTGTAAAAGCGCTGCCAGATGAACTAGAAGCACTAGAAGGTCTCAGAGAGGGCATGTGAGCAGATCTKGACCGCAGCTGCTCTCTCTGTGGGAAACGTCACGGCGTTAAAACGTGCACGCTGACAGCAGAGATACAAACAGCGGCGGAGAGGTGTAAACAGGAAGCTGACTTAATCACATGTCTGACCGCTCAACACAGGGAACACAAGGSGTGCAAAAATATAAATAAAATAAAAGCTAAAAGACACAGGAAAGGAAAAGGTAGGATGAATTAAAAATTAGTTTCACTTTCTGTTTTCACAGCCATTTTCTAAACTCTGAAGGCTTTTTTTTTCTGTTAAAGAACTGAGGTTGAAACGAGCACCAGAGGCATGTAAAGTTCTTATCAGCACAAACTGGCAGAAAAAAAAAAAAAAACCGGGCCATTATCTTTTCAGCCATTTTTTCTTTCTTTTTTTATCTCTGTTCTGTTTCATCAACCTACCAGCTGAAACTCCCTGCGACGATCGTAGGCGTTCTGAATGCCCGAGTCGGCCCACAGAGCTGAAATGGCGGGCAGGTACTGCAGGAACACCGACGTGTCCAGATTGCCGCTCGCCACCTTGGACGAGCGGGTGTCGAAGGCCATCAGGGTGTCCCCGTGCTGCTGGTTGTCTGGGTCGCCCCACGGGATGTGCAGCTTCTCCCGGGCGTCCACCAACACGCGGATACCTGGACAGGAAGTGACGAAATCAACKAKAAAAAAWAAGAATCAGGCCACATTTGACAGGAAGACGGACCACATTGGGGTCGTGTACTTATTTGGTTTTAAATATGACTAGCATCCTTTCACACGTTCATTCATAGATTTTAAAATGCTCTGAATAATTTGATATTATCATCAGATTATGGGCAAAGATACCACATCCTACGCAATTTGGACAATATTGGCCACTTTTAAAACATCAGCAATCAGACTGTTTATACATAATTAATCAAATGACATAAAAGGAAAAGGAAGCTACAACCAGCTTTGCCCACAATTGAGTCTTTTGAGCAACAATGCTCCATTATGTAACACTTTTTCAGTGTCAAAGTTCATTCAGGGTAGTTGAATATATATTTATTTTATATAGGCAATCATTTTGTTTAATTAAAAATGCATATTGCCAAAAAAAGTAACATAAAACGAATAAAATTGGTGTAGATTAGCCATCTTGATTAGCTTAGCTGCCCTGATTTCTAAAGCCCTGCAATAGAAAAACTAATCAGTACACCTTTACTAAATAGAGAAAATACTTTTTTAAAGTTAGTTTTGTATAGTTTTATAAAAGACAACATCTGTGTATGACTGGAAAATCGTTATGACCATGTAGTATTGCTACTGTGACTATTTACTTGAGTAAAAGTACTTAATCCCAGCTTGAAACACACGATTACAGTCSGTCAACTGTTGGGCAAGTTTGTGATTGTTATTATAACATTATAAGATAATTATTAGTGTGTTGTTTGTTACAGATGTAGCTAGTGAACATGTAGTTTTGAACAAAAGGAGCTGAAAAAGCCCCAGACATTCTACTGTCTTATTGTTGAATATTTAATGTARTTGATATGGTTAAGTGAGGATTTAGTACAATTAAATAACTGTCAAATGTAGCCCAAATGAGTACTTTTTATGGGACAATGTAGTTTTTTAAAAAAAAGAACAAATTATGTGTTAAATTTTAAAGTTTGATTGTTTGGGAGAAATGGAAGTGGTAACGTAATGTAAAGAAACATTATTAAAGTGGTTCAGAGAGTAAAGGTACTTTCCATTGTGTACAAACGGGAACACCTCACTGGTGGGTTACCCTCCATTGAACCAAATAAATATTTTTAAAAACAAACGTGCCTAAGGCTTTTTGAAACTGTAATAAACAGCTATATTAAAATATATTATTTACATTATATATATATAAAGTAAGAGGAAGCTAAAGAAGCACATTTTATGCTAAAGCCCGGCTCAGTTGGGTGTGCCGACAGCAGATGCAGACTGTTTATCTGGGTCCTCTCGGCTAAAGCAGATGTGGAAACTTTTCCATCCATTTTCGACGCCTTTCTCGGGGCTTTTCTATCCCAAAAACAAGCGGCACCGTCCCGCACTATCAAGCACACGTCGTACGGAGCGAAGTTACCTTTGATAACGTTGCAGTAAATCGTGCTTTTGAAGTCCTCGCGAGCCTGCTGGTCGAAGTCCTGGCCGTGAATGATCCGCATTTGTTTGAGGAAAGTCGACTTGCCGCTCTCGCCAGCGCCCAGCAGCAGGATCTTTACCAGCCGCTTCACGTACGTTTTCTCCCGGGAGAGACATTTGTCGATCTCTTTGGACTTTCGCGTTTGTTCCACCTCGCCGCTGTTGAGCAGGCAGACGGGCAGGCAAACTTTTAACACGGACCTGGTCGGCAGGAAATCCGCCATGTTCGCACAAACTTCATCGATGCTAATTTCATTGCGCGTTCGCGTCGCGCGAGCGAGCACGGGACCAAGCCCCTTTTCCCTAAACTCAGGAAGTACCGCCGCCGCGCAACCTTTTACCGTCACTCTCAAACGCTCAGCGTCGTAGCGACGCAATTTTTTTACAATTTGAAGTTAACTTCAATGGATATATTCACTTCTTGTTCAACTAAATTCACAAAAACAAAATTAAAAGTTAATTTTAAATAAAATCCGAATAGACAAATAGTGAAATGTCGCACTCTACTGGTTGAGATTGGTAACTGCGTCACKCGGGTTCAACGCTGAGAGAAAGTAGCTCTCTGATTGGTTGATTCCGTTTTCCCTTTTAGGTGTGGTGCCTTCAGTAGTTATTGAAAATGTAGGAATTTTTAGTTCCCACGTTATCGCACCTCAAAACATGAACGAGAAAAGCGCAAAAAAAGAAAAACAATGTTTAAATTTAAAGCTTACATATATTTTTATAAAATAATTTCTATTTGGAGTGGATTTTTATAG